ACACACACACATACACACACACACACACACTTGGTTATCGACAGCGTTCGATATCAGCGCCTGCTGACTAATCACACACAGCGATTCCCATCAAGATTGGAGACTTATTGATTATCGGAGCCAATCACAGGGAGCCGCCTTTGAGTTTGCCCGAGATGCAAATCGATTGAATGTATTAAGTTCGAGATAGCATTCCGGATCTCATGGCTAGAGAGGAAAACAAATGTGAGGCAGCGCAGTGAAATCAGGCGCTCGCCAAAACACTACAATCAAAGAAACTGGCATTTTTCTGGACATTGAGCAATTTTTTTTCGAATTTTCTTATTTTGCTCAACACTTTTTATGTCTTTTTAAAAATACATTTCTGTTTTGATATTGCACAAACACATTGATTAAAGGCACAACAAACGTACCTTTTCTGTTTTCACGGACACTTAAGCTTTGGAAATCACCAACCGTTGGCAGGCATTTTCTCGTTAATTTTACCTCTCACACAAAGCCACCTCCACCTTCTTCAACCGCAAATATCTCGACTTTATTGAAGATAGATGAGTATTTTTCTCACTCACCAACTGAAGACAGCTAAACAAGGTTCAAGATGATATTAATAACTCTATATGCCCAAAATTGACGAGCGCGTGATTCCACTGCGTTGTGACACAATTGATAAGTTTACAGAAGTGTTCAAGCGGCAAGGTATGAAATGACGCTAACCAGAGCCACAAGGAAGAAACAGTTGTGTCATGACACAGTGAAATCAGGCACTCGTCAATTTTTGGGCTTATAGAGCTATTGGTATCATTTTAAAGATCGCTAATTTGTCTTGTGTTTGGTGAAAAAATACTCATCTATCAGGAATAGACGTCGAGATATTTGCAATTTAAGGAAGTTGGGGTCGCCTGGTTTCAGAGGTAAGATTAGCGAGAAAATGGCTGCCAAATCTGTCGACTTCCAAAGCTGGAGAGTCAATAGAAACTTCAAATTTACATTTGTGTGCCTTAAACCGACATATTTCAGTAAAATCCACACAGAAATGTTTTAAAAAAAAAGAAACTTAAAAGTGTTGAGTCAAAAAACAAAAATTCAATAAAAATTGCCAAACGGACAACAAAAACAACAAAATTGCCAGTTTCTTCGATTTAATTATTTTGACGGGCGTCTGCGGGTTCGGGAGTTCGAGCCGCGGGCCCAACGTTGTGTCCTTGGAAAGGCACTTCACACGAATTTTCCTCACTTCATCCAGGTGGAAATGGGTACCCTGCCATAGACAGCGAAAGATCTTGTCAGTATGTTAGTGTTTT